CTATTGAGGTTGACGACGCCAGCGACCAAGGCTCTATCGTGCTGGATATCTCTCAGTATCGTCTTACGAACCCGCGACGAGTGAGGCTTTGATCAACCTTGGATCCTTGTGAGACCTTTCGTGTTCAGACAGATTTTTTCTTGTGAACTATTGATTTGCCGAATTTGTCGAGCGTTTTAGCCGTATTTTGTATTGTCTGGAGAATATGGAAGTATCGGAGTGGGAATCATGTCGTGCAGGGTTCTTTGCGGCGTTTAAGCGTTCAACCACACGAAAACCTCGTGGGAGGGATGGCTCTATCGAGAATGTAACGATTCTACAGCATGCGTAGGAGGCCCATCTGCTCCGAGAGCTACCCAACTCAGTTGCCGTGTGGGTGAAATTAGCCATCCATGACGGGAAACTCCTGACCTGCTCGCTTACTGTACACCTCTATTCTCTCGTGAAAAGCCGTGAATACCAACGGCGAACCGATGCTGAGTATCCGTATCTGGACCTATGTCCTCTCCGGCACCGTATATAGGAAGAACTATGGCCATGTTCATGCAATGCATTCTTGCCATCCTACCCGCGTTCCTCTACTTCAACGGCCACAAGTACATCATGATCGCAGCTATGCTTGCTCTTGCACGGCACTCCTTGCGCGGCCGAAAGAAACAGTATCCACACTGAGTGTGACTTTTATGTAGTGACTATCGCTATCTCAACCGCGCTTTGAGGCTAGTCTTGTAGTTCAACGTGGTGTCGGGAGATAGTGACTCAGTGAAGGATATTCCTAGGATTTTGACAACCCGCTTGGTGCTAATCGGTTGGGGGACAGTGAAGGCTTTTGTCTGGCCTCCTTGTCCTCGCCCCTTGACACCACCATATGTTTCTGTCTAAACCTCTTCAAACACTTCTTTGACTTCTCTTCCTCCCACAACGACGCTTGGCTAGTCGACGCGAAATTCCTTGGAAATACGACGCCAACTGCTGTTGTAGCCGCGTTGACACCTATCAATCCATCCATTGTGAAGACTATTGTTCCGCCGCCGGGGGTGGGGATTCTCCTGTCATCCCACTCCACCGATCCTCTTCCGTTACGTTGTCCTTCCTGTTGGCCCTGCTCTTGTGGGAACGGTTTTAGTGGCACTTAGGTGCTGCATCGCCGCCTGGTTGGGGCAGGCGTTCCGATATGATTGTGGAGCTGAGATTGGCTTGTCAGGGAGACAGAAGGTGCTGGGAATTCGAAGTAGCTGGGTGAATCTTCGGTACTCTCGCAGGCGGTGCTTTTACAATCCCTCCCACCGGGGGGTTGCTGCGAGATTACGTTTTGCGCCGTCGTCACGGGGCGTGGACCGTGCAGGCGGGTAGCTCTGAGATGATGATAGCGAGGCATTGCTTTGCATTGTTGTGCGGAATAAAACGTAGGCAACTATTGATTGTAAGACGATCTCTTGACGACCGAGAGGCGCAAAGAGCCAGAAGCGTCACAGCCGCGCGAGCTAGGGCGGTTGTTCCACTTCGAGCCCGTCCGTGATGAGGATGAGTCGAATGAAGCAGGCGAGGCACGGAAGGGGGGGAGGGGGGCGACCGCAGTCCATCGCTGAAGAGGTGGGTGGGTGGGTTCTATGGTCGAAAAGAGAAGGATTGAACAGCCGTTCGATTCGTGGATTCGAGAGAGGGGGCTCATGGAATAGTAGGCCACTGGATCGACGACATGGGAAACGTCGCACGATGAATAAGCCATGCCAGTATCTCTCACTCACTTTACACGCTGAAGAGTCGGGGACGAAGAGAAAGGTGAAATTTGACATTGTTAACGTTGGTGTTGAGGCTGAACGACCCTAATCCCCCCGAACCCCACTGTTCCGACCCACCCATTTTCTTCAAGCACGCCCGACCCTTCTAATTTTCGACCACTTCCAGCCGAGAAGCACTGCGGCGCCTTGCCAAACACCTCAAATCATTCCCCTACGGCCCTATCTACCATCTACGACCCGCCTCCTCGTTAGAGCCAATCGGCATACACGATCTCGTCGCCATAAATCAAGGAGCGCCGAGCTCTCGGCGCCGAAGCTAAACCGAAGTGCGTGCCCCAACTACGCGCGTCAGGCAAGAAGCCATAGGAGGATTGCAACAGATTCGCAGGTGAGAAAGTGGAGGGAGGTCAAAACACAACCGCATATGACAGAGAGAACAGCATATCAAAGTAGAAGACGAAGGATGAATCAGGAGAAGAAAACTACGGTGAAGAGAATGAGTGGGATGAGGCATAAGCACAGAAAGTCGCTCACGGGTGTCGCAGGGTCAATGGCTTATGGGCATCATTCCGTTAGACCACCTCGGCTGTAAGCTTGCTTTTGCTTGCACACTACACATCCAAGCCGCGCGGACGGATTCACACAGTCCTCGGACGTCGCCATGTAACCCAGGGAGAGTGGATAAACTCACTCTGAAAACAGGCTGGTTACACCGCCAAGTCGGTCGTGGCAGAAAGCCGGATTTCGTCATCCATTGAAGGTGCTGCGAAAAGAGTAAAGACGAGGTCGGTTTTCTATTCGATCGCGGGTTGATGCCGGAGGGTCGACGAGCACGATCCGTTAAGAGGGGGTGGCAGATTTCAGACAGCCGTAACGCCCGATCCCGAGGGTTTGAACGAGATAGTTTCCTATTTCCTAAACAGAATAGGTCTAATAAGTCTCCGGTGAGTTACTTGATCTGATTGCTATTTTCCATTGGGGGAGCAGTGCGTTTTACGAGCTGACCTCGAGTGCGACAGACTTGTAAAAGGAATCATTTATACCGGCAGGCTGCTGGAAGGGCTTGATCTCTTCGCATCAATTGTCACGTCCCTTTTTTTGAACTTACCCTATTGTTTTGGGTCCAAGATTGAAGTAAATGACGTTTCGTTGGCCTATCCTATTTGTCGGTGAAACAACACCAACGCATTCCGACAGCGGCTTCCCTTCGTCACTTGTGAGCTTATAGGTCGATCGGAAGAGCAGATTCCTCAGAATGTGAGTGTCGCCACCAAATTTGGACGAGCTCTCGGCGCGCCGAGAGATGACCATTTTCGGACCACGTAGGCATGCGGACGTGAGTTCGAAAGACACCGTGGACTTCGTTGTCGCGGCGCACCCCCCCATCCCTCTCTGGTGTTTCTCGACGTTCACGATCGCAACATGAACCTCTCTTGGTTGTCCTTCGTGAAAGTCCTGTACATAGAACCCTTCCTCCCAGTAATACGCCGATGATGTCCAGTAGGTCAGTTTCAGCATGTAGTGTATTCATCTTTATATCACTCCACTCTCTTTACCCAATCTAGGGAGTGAACCTCAACCTCCCATAATCCATCCCACTTCCACTCCAATTTAAAAGGCGTTTTCACTCAACTAAGGACGTACGTAGGCTTCAGGGGGTAGACGTAATGGGTGGCTTCAATTGGACATGTCACTATCGAAGTTGGACGGGCGCTCTTGACGCTAGAGCGGGCGGGATTTCATTCTCACCCCTCGTCTCCATGAAGCGATTAGAACGCCTATTTGACCAAATGAGGTTGGCTGAAAATCGCGACGCGTCGCGGTATTGTGGCGAACAACCGTAGGAAGATGACTCAAAAGGATCCGTGGCCCTATCAATTTGCCGATCATAGGGTCCGCTGTGACAGTAGGAGGTTTAATCCGTGGCGGATAGGTGAGGACGTGAGTGATAAATCATATGTTAGGAGAACCGAGGCTCAAACACTCGCAGTTTACCCCGTCAGGAAGCATCACGATTTGACTCATCTGATTATGGTCACTCGCGGCATAATTAGTGACGAGAAGGGCAGTGTCACTGTGCTTTCGGGGGGGAAGGGTGTCAAGACATAATTTGGGCGGTACGCTGGTGCCTAGTCCTCAACGGGCCTAACAGCGAGCATCAGAAGATTTTGGCGTTCACACCAGACACTGCCTTGCCAAAGGTTCGAGCCCCGTCCCAGCGAAACAGAAGTGAACAACGTCATGACATAGCCATTTACGCAACATCAAGCCTGAACTCCATGCGGCTATGGTAGAGGGTCTCTTTAACTCTCACATTGACGACGACAAGCACCAAATCAGCGACAAGCTCCAAATCAATGGCCGGTTGAGTCTATCTTTGCGCAACCTTTTGATTTCCCTAATCCTAAGCTATCTTCACCTGATATTAGTGAATATGAAGCACTCTTCATAGACTCTAGCCAGCTACGCCGGACCTGGTCCTCCACGCAACACCTTCACGCCCTCCCCGAAACAGCGCTCAACGGGCAGTACTACCTCAACTACTTCCCCCCCCCCC